CCACCGCAAACTAAATATTGGGTTTGTCGATAAGATTGTGCCTCTGCAAAACAGCTTCAACGAGAACAGGAAAAGGTGTGTTTACCACTCTAAAAGAGTAGTGAAGACTCATCAGTTTATAACCCATTGACCGTAACAAGATACACTTCCGCCAGAAATAAGCGGGTGCTATTTCACTCCCATATTTGGCGAAAATGGATACCCTTCAAGTTATCGTGCAAGTCGGAAGTCACACGATCTGTTTCAAGTTCTGCGTACACTGTTCGTCTATCGCTGATCCGATGACAAAGCTTTTTTCCTCGTTTGTGTTCCGGTAGATACAGTTTGTCGTCTCCTCCATGAAAGACAATAAGCAATTAGAAATAAAACCACACCAAAACGAAGCAAGGCGAATATTGCGATTTTTGACCTAATCAGTATAATTAGATCTATTTTCATTGTTGAATCTGAAAAGGCGTGAATTTTACCCTTATCGAAAGGTAAAACATTTTTCTTTCATTTTGTTATCGCAGGTTCACCTCTTTAACAGCTTCTGCGTGGTTGCTATGAGTCAACATTTAAAAGCAAAGTTTCAAGCGAGATCTATTTCGTTGCAATGTTTTCTCCTTGCTCCTGTTAAAACCACAAATATTGCTCAAAACAAAATCATTTGAACGGTAATTAAAATCTAACTTGTCCATTTTTGTTATGTAGTCACCAAAGGATCACATTTTATTGCATACGCAATAAAGTTATTGTCTGTCTGGGCAGTGTGTTTGGGCTATATCGTTTTACTATCACGTTTTAAGCAGAAGGTCAATTATTAATTACAGTATTTAGTTTGCCGAGTTTCTTCTTATTTGGTGTGAGCAGAAACCGGAGTCCAGTATTCAAGTTAATGAAAGCACAACTCATCGTCTACTGTTTTCTTACAGTATTTCATTTCTTATCACGCTGTTTATCAAGTTGACTTATTTGGACACTATTCGATGTGAGCTAAATGCCGACTGTGGCAATAACAAACAAATAAATCGCTGCTCACCGTCCGATTGAGAGTTTCCGGCCTTATTTTATCAGTTGTTCCAGTTTTTGTCGAGCTATCAGCGCAAAAGGGGAAGACCCTGTGATTTACTGCACCAATGCCTTGCCTATTTCAGTTCTAGCTGCTGGTTAGCTCTGGGTACATAAGCTTACATTGTGAATAATGTTCTAGGTGCTAACTGCGCATTGCAATTCGGTTCAGTGCTGCATGCAGCTTACGGTTGTGAAAGGCAACTAGAAGGACACGATTGCCTGTCAAGTGGCCTTGCTGTACAGGCGAATTCTCTCAAGAAAAATGCTGAAATTCTAACAAAATCAGTAAAGAGTATTTTGTAGTTGATCGAACATGGAACGCTACGTTCAGACTTGTATATACAAGAGGACTCTTATGTCTGCTTTTGTCGCGTTTCGGGCGGGCAGGGTAGGGCTGTAGTAGCTTCTGTGACGTCATTTATTGTCGTCACTGGCTTCACGTGTTTCTTTTCTCGCCATGCAGTTCACGGATTATAGATTTCTCAGTCTTTGAAGCAAGAGATTAGAAAGGGTAAGACAAGCAGGCACAAAGATAATCAGTAATGCTTTGGAGTTATCTTTGCACCAAAAAACCTGACTGCATGGAAGTCTGTTCAAGAGCGCGTTGCAACTCTTACCCTACCCTCCCTCCTCCGCTAAAGTTTTCCCCGTCTCGCCAGACACTGCTTTCACTCGCTAACGGAAAGAAAATATTTGCTTAGTAGCCAGAATACACAAGAGCGAATACATGTCTCTATAAGCAACTGAAGGTGGGTTAGATGCACTATATGACAACTGGCACTCGCGCTCGCTCTTTACCAGTATAAGAGCGGAGACCTAATGACTGGGGCCTTTGTGTTACTGAGTATAGAAGCGGGGTCTTCCCTCACCCAAGTATAAAACTTCTCACGGCCACTTATTTCTTACATTATAAACTCTACCGCCTAACCGTTATGTCAAGGCCTAAAGATTTTCAAAATTTTTCCCCTCTGCTCATCAGAGGGGAAGATAGAATACAACTGAATAACAACAACAATAGAGTACAGGTTATTTTGCAGGGTAACTTTGAGGTGTTAAAAGGGAAACAACAATCTTTTGCGCATGTCTAAGTGATACGATGAACAAACTATTTAACAGAAACAGGTTCCTGAAGCCAAAAAAAATTGAGAATCACCAAAAACGGCTTGCATTTAAAATCGTCAATTTCCGTGCTTCAAGCCGGATGTGAGTGTCAACAACAAGGTGAATAAGCTTTAATACTCCCTGCTAAGAAAACAGCATTGATGGTTACTTTCCTTTGCGGCCTGCAGTCAACACCAATTAAAAGGCGCCTAGTTAATTATCTTTTTTAATACCGCTATTAAAACACTACTTAATATGGCAAAACTTCGAACTGAACTAAAACAACTAGAGGTTATATTCCAGCAAGAACATACGTAGATAAATTTAACAGATAAGTATTTATTGGCGTGCTCAAAAAGCACAAGCGCTCACGTGCTCAAAGTTGTCCAGACAGTTAGACTTTCCGTCTCGTGTTGGGTTTCCTAAATAATGACTTCCTGTAATGTGCGAGAAGAGAAATACCAAATAAAGCCTACAAATATGTGCCTTTAGGTTAACCTTTCAAGGCTTTCTTCAATGTGTGTCCATTATCTGTAAGACTCTGACTTTATTTTGTCTAAACTCCCACGCTAAGCTCAAAGGGAGTCAACGCGAACTGCAATGCAATTTTCATCTTAGAAAGATTCCTGAGTGTGGCTATCTACACGGCACGCACTCTCCCGGATATTCCCAATGGCTTCCTACGCTGTTCCGGCACGTTCTCATTGGTTTCAGCTCGTGCCAGTTGTAACAGGATGTCCCAACCGATTACCTCTCTTATTTTGTTTTTGTCAGGGTGATTTTCCAAGCTTTCCTAAACAGAAATTTGCCAAGACAATACTGAACGGCTGCCCTATATATTTTCGTGATCAGATGATTAATTCAGTATGATGACCTATGAACACGGCTCACGTAAGCGAAAGAGTAATACAACTTTCAGCACTTAGGATCAGACTCCGGCGATCAGGTAACTGAATATTCCTGAATAGGAACAGACAATTAGATTTCAGCGAACAGAAGCATGCACGCGAGCAAAAAACAAACAAACAAACTAACTAACTAACAAACAAGCAAACAAACAAAAACAAAAGCAACAAATCTGAACTTTGGCAGTGGAGAAGAAATGGAAGCTTTATTCTGCAGTAAAAGAAGAAATAATCAGCCATATAACAGTATGTCGGCTTAAGTATAATTGCAGATCAGAATACTAATGAATTCAGAGCTCAGTCGCGCTTCAGTTAAACTAACTGCAATCTTAACAGAACAGTGGCTAAATCAAATTACCGGTACTCTGAGCAAACCCGTAAGC